ACAACAATGTTGTATTGACGGGATAAAACGTGCTCTCTGGGCGAAACGGTGAAGGACGGATTTGTATAACATCGTTGTTCGCAAGTTTGTTCGCTTCTTCCAGCCTTAGTTGAAACAGAGCAGGTCCGGAAAACTTCCGTGGATATGCTGGTGATGTAGACTTTGAGAATACACTTGCGGGAGAAAGCAAAACGTTTGCATACGCACATGCATCGGCAAGTGCTTGCTCGTCCTGCACAATAAGGGGATCTGGCGGAGACGATGGTGTCATTTTCCGAAGTTGCAGGGTTGAGAAGACGAAGGTTTTCTAGGCCTCATGGTGTCGGAACTATTTATGCTCAACATTGCCGGTTACATCAGCCATATTTGACAGCAACCTCATCAGGTTCAACTCTCAAGGTATATTAGCACTTGTAGTTAGCCAGTAGTAAGCCTACAGCCAGTTTTGGCGTCAGGTCATGATGGCTATAAATAATATGAGGGTTCATGAGCTCCTTTGCAACCTCCTCGTGTATACACTGAACTAAGCCACACACAGAACGTCACCATGGAGATCTGGGCGTTTGCCAATCTGTACACTGCTGCTCCTACAGTCGGTACCGTTCAGCCGCCCTCAAGCACGGTGACTGAGCTTCCTCAAATATGCACTTGTACCATGGAGGCGGATGCGTCAACTTCGACTACAATTCATACAACTGCACTTCCGGACAGACTGGAATCCACCCATCGATCCTGGAACGCTACTTTCACCCACAATACATCGAGCATCGGCACCGCGCTCAGTTTCGTGACGACGACGTCTGGTGGTGATGTTCAACCGTCGTGGACCTACCATAGGCCGACGGTGCACACGACCGCGGCGATCCCCGTCAGCGCAACCGGTTCACATGGCGCCGGCTGTGACCACCTTGCAGCCCTTTTTGTCTTTTTTCTTGGTGTATACCTATGGGACCGGCTGCATTAGATCCACTCGGCGCTTTCTAGCAACAACGATTACCAAAAGCTCACGCAAGAGAGGGAAGTGGTTAATACTGTGTACGGTGGACGCGTCCTTTGTCTTAGTCCCAATAAAAGGTGCGAGGTCTTCGCTCTTGGTGCCTAACGAGATCTCTTGCATTGTTGTACTACGTCCATGGTGCGGTATTAGGCGGGGTGGAAGTTGTACGTTTTCTTTCACGAATTATTATGCCTTCCTATGTAAAACTCCCTCACGCCTAAGGGACCAGGGCTCAAGGGCAAGCCTTGGGGGAATACAGGCTCTCGAAATGCACCGAATCAAATGGACAGATCAAGTTGTAGAATGGTGCGCAGCGAAGTCAGACATCAAGTAGCATTCAGAAATTGCCTGCTTATTTGTACGCAAGTGAAAGAATTGATGGATTTCTCTCTATCTTGTCCTAGCAGAACTTGTTACTGACACTCCAAACCCAAGCTTCTCCTCTGTCGCGGCTCAGCCCACCACCGTATGGTCCAAGACCATCGCTTACGGTGTTGTGTCGCTCTCGTGCATCCAGAAATGATCCAGTGCTGTGACGCGCGTTGTTAGAAGGCGTAAATATAAGACTTCCATTCAAACGGACCTCATCGTTTTCTACCTCGACTTTGGACGGGGAGGTGGCTTCGGAACGCCCGTGGTATCGTACGCTCCGCGACCTTGATCTGCGTTCGTCTCGGGATTGTGGGCGGTAGCCATTTCTTGTTTATCGTGAGGCTTCGTTTTGCTTTGTAGGTGTTGACGATTGTTCGCCGAGATCTTGTGTCGTCAGTTTCGTGGTCTTTATATGTGTTCGTCTCGACCCCTTACCCCTATTTGGTGCCAACGTTGGAATATTCATTGACCCCCTTGCAAACTTGGTAGACCCCTTATGACAGGATTCAACAACGCTGATATCCGTCAACCCATGCGCGATCCTGGTCAACCTATGGTTAAATTGCCACTGCCCCTGAGGGTCATCGTTCGGCTAGTCTCTTTGAAGGACCAAGTATTTCTATACGGGCCACCTTAGTCGTGATGAACACGTCTACTAAAACGTAGTCATGTCATGATCGGGTGGATATGGAAGACAGAGAGCCTGAACGCCAGCCCGTGTCGAATGCCTTCGCTGTACACATTGTGCAATAATGAGCCTATGCGACGAGATGCTGCTGAACGGAATCGGTCAAAGCCGAGCGACTTTGTAGCCTGCTTTCTGTCTCTTGTCTCAGTTATCATGAACATGACTATCTTCTTATGTTGTTCTTTGCTATCCCGCAGAAGAACCCAAGACACCCAGTCTGCTGGCTCCGAATTCGTGACAATTTCATTCATGTAATGCACTGATCTCAGCTCTTGCGAGCTCGAGTCTCGGAGGGGACATGCCGAGCATTGACTTTGTCGAGGTTCTCTCTGGCACTACAAAAAGACAGGGGCGGTGCTTCGAGTCAATGTATTTTACTCGTGTGACATGATGGTTTGATATTGCGATGGCCATTGGGAGTCGAGGGTTGACTCCAAGATGGAACCGCTTGCGATCTAATTCCAAACCATTCGTGTGGACTCACCCAAGTCCAACCTATACACGTCGTGGGTGTTTTGTGATAGCGTGAAAAGATCACTTTCACTGGCGCCGCTGGACTTGGTCTCTGGTTGGAGTATTCTACATCTTCGTTTTATCGCAAACTCGGCAACTTTTGGTTGTTCTGCGTGATGTGGCTAGCAAATCTTGGCGAACGGTAAGTACTACACTCGCTTCGACCTGACCCCGCCTCTTCTCTCCCGAATCAATTAGTTACTTCCGAGTTGTCTTAGTCGCAGGATTGATCGTGGAAAGAGCTGTTGGCTGATTTATGGTCCCGTAAAGTCAGCCACTTGGCAGAGTGTTTTTCTTCTTGCTCTTGCCGCCTTACTGTCCGCAAGGTTCGTCAGCGACTGGGACGTGCTAGCTTCTAGAAGTGTAGGGCCGGACAACCATTTCGTATGCTAGTTGTTGGGGTGAAGTGTTTATGCCAGGAGCAAATTAGTAATGAGACGCTATGCAGATAGTCCACGTTGTGCCACGTCGCTTCTCGGCAACTATGCAAACATCCATAAACATCCGAAATCAATCAACTATTAAATCTGAACACCCGAAAGTCAATTTTGGCTTCATACGTGGGACGCATCCAGGTACAGCTATTTTAGCTTTCCCAGTAAACGCCCTGGACATCATCAAACATGGCAACTTCGAAGTTTGCGTGTTGCCGCGTGTGCCTCTGCCGGAGAAGATCGCCGGAAGATCAGAAATCAACTGCGGTACCGATTTCTTTATGCACCATGACCAGATTCCAGGGTTGGATGCTGCTGCATAGTGCTGTGGCGGGCTTACCGGCGTTTGGCCTTTTTCGATGTGGTATGATCTGGCCACCGCGCCGCATCACGATATGTCCCTTGAATGTTTTCTCGATTGAAGTCCACATGTGAGCCGGCTAATCAAAGTCGACTAATCCAAAATGACTGGTCGCCCCACAGGGGCCAGCAAGATACATTGCTAGCTGCCTCGAATTGTATGAGGAAGAGTAGACGTTGGTCGAAGATCAACAAAGAGCTGCGGTGTACGAATCACAAGATACCAAATCGGCTCACTTCAGAGCCCAACGCAAAGCCTGCAATGGCCTCTATTCCATATCGTCGTACTTGAGGGCAACAGAATCCCATCCCAATAGCTATTCCCGGGCAATAGGATACATTAAATCACATTCGGATTGTAGATCACTCAACTCGCATCACCATGGCCCCCATGTCGTCGGACAAGATCGTCTTCACATATGACAAAAAGGCCAAAGAGAAGGTCCGAAAATGTGGGGCAAGCGGGAAACGAAAGGCCGTGCAGCTGGGCGAGGGAGCCCAGGTGTTCTCGGCCGTCATCCATTTCAATCCGACTTACGGTCAATTAGATGGAGCCGTCCACGTACCGGACGGCCAAAGCATTCCCGACGTGAATCGTTTTGTAGGTCTTGGCAGAGAAGCCTTCTGCTGTTGGAATGAATGGCTTGAACTGACGTGCATCCGAACCAGCTGGCGGAACTCGTCAATGGGATGCACGGTTGTGGACGCCGACGCCGGGTTTCACGCCGTCGACGAAAGAGGTTAACGTCCGAACCTGGTCAAAGTCCGGCGGAGATCGGCGACAGCATCAAGGTGGGGGAGGTCGGAAGCAGCGTGCGGGGAACGCCCGATACCGTGGGAGACGAAGACGCAACGGCGAAGGAAGTCACAAGTGGGGAAGCGGATGCCCCACACGAAGTCGAGGCCGATGACGGCGGCGCCGCTGTTTTTTGCGGCACCGTGTCGGGCTTCCAGCAAGACGAGGCTGATGTAGGCGAACCCCCCAGCAACCCAGCAAAACATGAACAACGGACGGATTTAGCACCACTCAACCACGATGTCGAGGGCATTATGGGGGACTTTATCATGAGCGACGCTGACACTGCTGGTTCGATCAACGCGGTTGAAGGAGGTTCCTTCCTCGGGCTACCTGAGATCGACTTGCGCGACCTCTTCGAGATGGAAGCTTGCGCGTCCACGTTTCTGCCAGTTGATGACAGCGAGCTGGGTAAACAAGGACAGTCGAGCGATGCCATTTCTGATCAGGAAAGGTCGGAAGTGGAGACATCGGGCGAAACGCGGGAGAGCACGGCGGCAGCTGGAAGGGGAGCCTTCAGCCATCAGACGAAAGTTCAACAGACGCGAACAATTGCTGCCGCACGTGCTTACCGACCTGACAGGAGTTCTTTCAAAATTCACCGGTTCTTTTGTCGCGTTTCTCAGCGGATCCGGCAGGCAAGATATGGAGGGGAACTGCACACGGAACATGTCTAATAGACAATGCGAGGTGTCAAAGCTGTTTAGGGAGATCCTGGCGACGGCGTCATGCAGAGATCAAAGTGTGGGGCCGCTATGTACGTAGGGTGGCTTATGCGGTTCTGAGTTCGCCGAGACCCATTTACCTAATGGGAGAAAATCCGTACAACTCTAGACCAGAGTTGTGATGATCGTGTTTATGAACCCAAAGCTAAGCAGATAAGGTTGGGGCAAAGGCACTAAGTAATCTTAGTTGGGAAAATCTCAAGCAAGCAACGTCAATTGCTTCATACTCTTGTTGCCTGCTCCTACATTCAAGGTAGCTCAGATGTTCTCTTGTGCATTTCAATCAGCATGAGCGTCCATCCCGGAAGAGTACCCGATTCGTCAACCTTCGAGATGACAGGCTCCTTGTTCCCGAGCATACGTCGTGCTAGCGACAGGTCGGTGCTCTCGCAGATAGCCTGGGCCGCACGGCCGCTGCCACCGCCGACGTCGACTAGTAGTACACGGTCGGCGACTGACAGTTTCGATGCATTGGCGATCCACGAAAAATCATACACGCCGATGATGGGCGCCAACGGTCCAACGCTGTCATTGCCCGCATGAATGACTCCTTCTTACTCTGGTCGTTGTAGATGTTCCACATTCATTATTCATCATGCCCTTAGTGAACGTGAGAGGAGTAGCCTGGTGGGCTTCGTACGCTTTCTTCTCAGCATGGCATCTTCCGGTCATATCTCGGATGGCCATGTCAACTTGAGTTTTGAATGCATTGAGGGACCTCTCGTAGGCTAGCCTTGTCCCCAAACTTTGTCGATAATTACCTGTCACGTAACAGGGATCAGAATCGCAACTCACGAAATCCCCTTCATGTGCTATATCACGTGTATATCACTTACAACTCGTATGTAGACCTTTTTCTTTTGTCTTTTTCCACTTTGATAGATTAAGCCACTTTACCACACTCCGTATTCCCATTGCTGCGTGCCATGACTCGTGGCAATACCCGTCCTATGGTTTGTGTATTGCAGGAACGCGACAGCATCTCACTTATAGTCGCAGTCAAGCATCCTCGATGTTCCGGGATGGTTCTTGCTTGATAGCAGAACTACATTCGGCAGTGTTTACATTTGAGTTTTTGTATGAGGAACAAAACTATCAAGGTTTACAACAAGGCTACCGCGTCATTTCTTTTGCAACAGTTGTGCTTTCCTTGTGGTTCTTGATCCGATTCGTGTACGTTTGCAAATTTTCGATAGCAGACTTCCTACCACAGGCTACATCTGGGCCTGAAAGATTTCGCTTTAACAACAAACATTCTCCTACGTTTGAATTCGAATTCCGGACCCATATTGAAGCTACTGACTCCACACTCGTACACATACTGTAGAATTTCCTCTTGCGACATTGGAAACCAGGGCGCGAAAGAAAGTGTTCCAAGCCTCGCAAAGGTTGGCTCGAACTCGTTGTACTGAATGAATGGCTCGAAAGCGTTTTGAAAACGCCCGTCCGATGCAGAGAGCTGGGCAATCGAGGTGTCTAGTTCCCAAAGAGAAGCATGAGTCGCTTTGAACGGAAGCAAAGACCAAACTTTGTTGTCGATGATTACTTCCTGGTCATGAAATCCGTTCTGCAAAAGAAAAGCAACAAGCTTGTCGCGACCTAACAGAAGAGCAAGCTAAAAGGCTGACAGCAGCTCTGTGCTTCGGAATAAGCACTCCCGTTGGGATTCAAAGACATCAGTACCGCAATGACCGAGGAAGCAGTCGTACGGCAGTCTCCTTTGAAAATCCGCCCCCAACTGCTGAGCTCTTTGAAGTACACATAGTGAAACGGAGTCGTCTTCGCACTCGGAAATCGCCCAGGCAACACAACGAGGAACGGGCGATTGTAAGTCTCGCTGGTAAAGCAGTGGCGTACAGATAACCCGAAAAAGTTTGCTGCACAGCGCTAGTAATCGGAGACTCTTATCATCGCAGTATGCCATTACCATGGCAAGGATCTCCGGCGGCAAGTAGATGGAGCTGGAGGGTCTCTGGGAGGGCGTAAGTTCCTTGGGGATTGCTGACATGGCGTAACTCTGGTCTCCGTGGCAAACGCTAGTTGCAATTATCTTGAGCTTGACTTAATCCAATCATGGCAGACATCCTTTGATCCAGTCATGGCAGAATTCTTGAATGCTCGAGAATTCTGATGGCCAATCGTACCGATCAAATAATCCTATGCGCTGGCTTCGTCCAGATCTGGGCACGAGTATCGAATATCACTAAAGACGCACACTTAAATGCGTCTCCGGCTCAAACCCCGATATTTTCTTCTGCGTGATCATTGTCCCAATCGCGTGGAACCAAGCTTGCCCGGACGAGTAGAATATGGCTTGGTGACGCATGAAGGAGTCGGATCCTAGAACCGTCCCCAGCAGCACGATCAAGACCAGGGCTTCCTCTCCATTTTACCTGCCTGCGCGATCCACATCTCGTTTCAGCCAGGGACCAGTTCTGATGATCGTCCATGCTACAGGGGTCAGCGAAAAGGGATTCATCTCATATTCAACACACTTCTCTCTTTCCGCACGGACGTTTGATATCTTGGCACCAACACAGTCTGGCTTAGTACGGGAGTACTTAGCCCAGAAAAACCTTAAGTTGACAGGGGTGCTCCATCCATGGGTTGGAGCAGACATTGGCTTCGGTGTCATCACCAGCAGGGGTTCTAAGTGGGTTGGAAAGCCGATTCTGGATTACCCAACCTCTGTTACTGGAGATGGAGAGCTTGCCCAAGTGTTTGGCATGTATATCTGTGAGCCAGGGTTTAATATACACTGTGTAAGCATCAAAAATGGCTTATGTGTCTGTGCGGAAAGAGATCAGAGAGTTGAAGAAGGTGAAGGCCTTTTCGCGGACTCCTGTAACCGTTTAATGCACCTATCTTAGCCCTGGCTCAACCCAATCATGGAAGAAATCTTGAGTGCTCGGAGATTCTGACCATGGCCAATCGCTCTACAGTTTTGATCATACATAAGTCACTTCCTCTCTCGCAAACACTCTCAATGTTTGAGAAGCCGAAAGCTGCTGTGATGGGCCTCCGCAAACCTCTGGTAATTACTGTAGCGGTTGGTTTGCAAACCAAAATGTGGGGTCGGGATGGTGTACGACAGTACGAGGGGCACCGTGTAATCAAGAGCTACTTCAAGGTATCCATAACCTGCCTTAACAGCAGTCACTCTCGCACTTTAAATTGTGGTCACATGTGCACAGTAAGCAGAACTTTGTGTCCAGCCTGTGTGGGTCAAGTCCAAAAAGATGAAGTGTGTTGCCAAGAGGAAGCAACATATGATCCAGAATGTGCTCAGCGTCCTTACATGATTGATGGCCGTAGCAGCTACGTGCCTGAGTCAATCGCGGGGCACCACGAGGCCGGAAACGGCGCGGTCCTCTACGGGGTTAAGTGGATCGGATACGAGTGTCCGACCTGGGAGCTCGAAAGCGATCTCTATGCATGGCTATCTACTTGCAGCTTATCACGATACCATCCAGCCAAGGTCCCTACCGAGGCGTTTGTTGTAGTCGAAACATGACGTCCTTAGGATTACTGTGTAGCACAGTATAGCATCTGTAGTTTGAACAGTTTGGGGTCGGTTTGAGATCGCACTTGAAGACGATTTCAGCTTATCAATGCTTGCTGTTTCCTCTCGGCCAGTGACACGATGTTAAGCTCGCAGTGCTTGGCAACGAAAGGAAACCGTCTATAGCAAAGGCCAGTAGAGGGTCTTGGATACTGTAAGGTGATGAAGTTGACCCATGGCGAAAAGAGCTGGCCATGTAGTATGTTTCGTTATGGCCAAACATGAAATTCAGCTGTATCCAATATCTGATCAAAGCGGTTGACCCTCTAATGAGAATCGGTGCCATTATCTTTGCTTCTGTATGTACCCTGATTCTGGCTGTTACACGTTTCCAATAATTATTCGTCAGTGCCAGCTCAACCTCGCAGAAGTTGCGAAAAGTGGGTTTTGTGTTGCAGCACGAATGCATTCTGTGCCGAATCATCATCTTGATGTGACTCAAAAAGACTATCGCAACTTCGCGACATCGGCTATGTACCGCGGCCCAGGTTGATAATCACTGGTCCAGAATCGTTTCGGGGGATACACTGTAGAAACTCAAGTTATGTCCATGGCTCGAGGGTGATCCCGTGGCGAGTAATCTCGCCACGGATCACCCTCGGGTGGACATAACTTGAGTTTCTACAGTGTATCCCCGAAACGATTCTGGACCAGTGATTATCAACCTGGGCCGCGGTACATAGCCGATGTCGCGAAGTTGCGATAGTCTTTTTGAGTCACATCAAGATGATGATTCGGCACAGAATGCATTCGTGCTGCAACACAAACCCACTTTTCGCAACTTCTGCGAGGTTGAGCTGGCACTGACGAATAATTATTGGAAACGTGTAACAGCCAGAATCAGGGTACATACAGAAGCAAAGATAATGGCACCGATTCTCATTAGAGGGTCAACCGCTTTGATCAGATATTGGATACAGCTGAATTCATGTTTGGCCATAACGAAACATACTACATGGCCAGCTCTTTTCGCCATGGGTCAACTTCATCACCTTACAGTATCCAAGACCCTCTACTGGCCTTTGCTATAGACGGTTTTCCTTTCGTTGCCAAGCACTGCGAGCTTAACATCGTGTCACTGGCCGAGAGGAAACAGCAAGC